CCCTACCTCTTATTTTTGTTGCCCTCAGCTGGCCCTTTCCCATTTTTGATATTGTATATCTCAACTTAAATTTACTTGCATCTCTAAATAAATTGTTGGCTTATCAGTAGTGGTGTCAGCAGCAAGCCAGCACACTCTCTTAAATTAATTAGGAGGCAAAGGAAATAAGGTCAACCTCTACAAAGCAATTGTATCTATCCTGATGCCTAACATTATATATATCTGTCAAAAGATAAAGAGTTTAAACCTGTTGACTTAGAGAAGCTTTTATCATTGCTTCATGCAGATGTTAAAATTATATAAAAATTCTTAACCAGGTGACAATAAGCTATCTTAACAATACCGATTAGGCATATTTTCTTTCTGATAAATGGGATATCAATAAATAAATTCATTCCCTAATTTATGTTTGCACCTAGCTCACTTTTGAGCAGACATGAACCACCTATCAAATTGCAGAAGTTTAGGCAGGAATACAGTTATCCTCAATCAACTTGTCACCCAATTCTATGGAGAATGCCAAAGCAATAAACAACTGATAATATATACAGATTGTTCTAGGATCTTACAAACAATTTTTAACTGTTTGGTTATGATTAAGAAGGCTTCTCAAGGGGTGTATCTGAATCACAGAAACACAGAATAGTAGGACTGGAAGGGACCTTGAGAGGTCATCTAGTCTAGTCCCCTGCACATTTGGCAGGACTAAGTATTATCTAGACCGGGGTGGGCAAACTCTTTGGCCCAAGGGCCACAGCGAAACTGTATGGAGGGCTGGGGTAGGAAAGACCGTGCCTCCCCGAACAACCTGGCCCCTGCCCCCTATCTGCCCCCTCCTACTTCCCACCCCCTGACTGCCCCCCTGTGAACTCCCGACCCATCCAACCCTCCCTGCTCCTTGTCCCCTGACCGCCCCCTCCCGGGACCCCACCCCTAACTGCCCCCCTAGACCCCAACCCTATCCAACCCCCCCTGTTCCCCGTGCCCTGACTGCCCTCCACCCCCGAACCACTGCCCCATCCAACCGCCCCTTGCTCCCTGTCCCAGCTGCCCCCCAGGAAACCACTGCCCCTTATCCAACCCCCCCCCTTCTTCCTGCCCCCTTACCATGCAGCTCAGAGCAGCAGGAGCTCGCAGCCCTGCTGCCTGGCTGGAGACAGCCACGCCACTGCGCTGCCCAGCAGTGAGGCTGCAGAGGAGGGAGGACAGCAGGGTAGGGGCCGGGGGCTAGTGTCCCCGGCCGGGAGCTCAAGGGCTGGGCAGGACAGTCCCATGGGCTAGACGTGGTCCGTGGACCGTAGTTTGCCCACCTCTGGTCTGCCCATCCCTGACAAGTGTTTTTTCTAACCTGCTCTTAATCTCCATTGACAGATTCCACAACCTCCCTCTGCAAGTTATTCCAGTGCTTAACCACCCCTGACAGTTAGGAATTATATTTCTAATGCCCAACCTAAATCGCTGTGGCTGCAATTTAAGTCCATTGCTTCTTGTCCTATCCTCAGAGGTTAAAGAGACCAATTTTTCTCCCTCCTCTTTGTAACAACCTTTTATGCACTTGAAACTGTTATCACATCCCCCCTCAATCTTTTCTTCTCCAAACTAAACAAACCCAATTTTTTCAATCCTCCCTCATAGGTCGTGTTTTCTAGACAGTTAATCATTTCTGTTGCTCTTCTCTGGACTTTCTCCAATTTTTCCACTTTTCCTGAAATGTTGTGCCAGGAACTGGACACAATACTTCAGTTGAGGCCTAATCAGTGCGGAGTAGAGCAGAAAAATTACTTCTTGTGTCTTGTTTACAACACTCCTGCTAATATATCCCAGAAGGATGTTTGGGTTTTTTTACAACAATGTTACACTGTTCGCTCATATTTAACTTATGACCCACTATGATCTGGGGATCCATTTCTGCAGTACTCCTTCCTATACAGTCATTTCCCATTTTGTATGTGTCAACTGTTCCTTTTTAAGTGGAGTACTTTGCATTTGTTCTTACTGAATTTCATCCTATTTTCTTCAGACCGTTTCTCCAGTTTGTCATAATACAGTAACCTACAGTTGTTCAAGGTACCTGTATTATGATTTAGAAACTGAATTAACATATGCAACCAGATCTTCAAAATATGCCTGTTGTCCCCAGGGCATTTTAATTGAATGTACCCTACAGAGCAGCATACATTCTCTTATTCCACCTCCATTCATACAGTAGGTGATTCAAGAAGCCTTTTTAAAGTACTGTCAGACACTCCTACAAATGCACTAAATGTTGCAAAAAGCAATATCAAGTCCTTATTAAATAATAAACACATTAACTAAAATATATATGAAGGGTTAAAATCCATTGCTGATGTAGTAACCTGGTATATGGATTTGTGTACAGGCCCAAAGTCCAGAGTTTGGTCAAGAGGTCAGAGGCCTAGCAATAGCTAAGAGAAAGCAGAATAACCAAAGATATGCCTGGTCAGCAAAACGCCAAATGTTGGGGGCAATAATTGTGTCTTATTCAAAGTTGCAAATAGAACAAAGAAGCCCTGTTTCTGTTGTGTTAGTTTCTTCTGTAGGGAGATGTTCTTCCCACACATCCAACCTTGAGTTTATGAAAAGGTTGGAACATGTCAGTATAAGATATGGCCTCCTCCCACCCCTCTTTCCCAGGGCCCAACGCCTGCCTTAAAACACAAATAAGCAACTTGAAAGACAATCTTCATTGCCACATACTTTCACTGTTTCTTTGATTTTACCCCTAGATATGTATCTGTTGGACAATCAAAGGAGCTACTTCATTCCTATGGACCCCAAATTGAATTCAACATATATTTATACTAATACATTTATTAAAGTACTAATTAAGTGTCATGTGTTAACCTGAAGCCATGGGCGGAGACATTATGTAACCTTTTGACCATTGGCTACTGTGCTTATCCTGTCTTGCTGCTAGACCTATCCAAGGGTTTGGGACTGCCTACCCCGTCATTTCCCTCTGCCCCATGGAAAATCTATATAATCCATTGTAATCAATTGTTTGGCAGTGTCTCTGAGCCTAATAAGCGAGGTGACACACCATCAGCGCTGTACGTAATAAACCCACGTGCTTGATTCTACACGGTGTCCATATTTGTTCCTTCATATATATGCGAAGTATCAATTGAAAACAACAGTCTGGCTAACTAATTATATAGGAAAATTCCCAGTGACTTAATTTAAAGTAAATTCAAGTATTACATCTGCTCCTGTGTTCCTCTACCAATTTTACAAGCACATTTTCCTATGTTTTTAAATTGTTTTTCTGTCTCCTGTTACTGTGCAAAAGACCCCACACAATGCACAAAGTACTGTAAATTGATTAACTAGCTATACAGAGGAGACAAGTGCAGTGTCTTTCACTTAGGAAGGAGAAATCCCATGCACCACTACAGGCTGGGGACCGACTGGCTAAGCAGCTGTTCTGCAGAAAATGACCTGAGGATTACAGTGGACAAGAAGCTGGATATGAGTCAGCAGTGTGCCCTGATTTCCAAGAAAGCCAATGGCATATTAGGCTGTATTAGTAGGAGTATTTCCAGCAGATTGAGGGAAGTGATTATTCCCCTCTATTCAGCACTAGTGAGGCCACACCTGGAGTGCTGCGTCCAGTTTTGGTTCCCCACCTACAGAAGGGATGTGGACAAATTGGAGAGAGTCCAGCAGAGGTCAACAGAAGTTATTAGGGGGCTGGGGCACATGAGTTATGGGGAGCAGCTGAGGGAAATGGGGTTATTTAGTCTGCAGAAGAGAAGAGTGAGGGGGGATTTGATAGCAACCTTCAACTACCTGAATGGGGGGTTCCAAAGATGGAGCTTGGCTCTTCTCAGTGATGGCAGATGACAGAACAAGGAGCAATGGTCTCAAGTTGCAGTGGGGGAGGCTGGATATTAGGAAACACTATTTGACTAGGAGGGTGGTGAAGCACTGAAATAGGTTATCTAGGGAGGTGGTGGAATCTCCATCCTCAGAGGTTTTTAAGGCCCAGCTTGACAAAGCCTTGGCTGGAATGATTTAGTTGGTGTTGGTCCTGATTTGAGCAGGGGATTGGACTAGATGACCTCCTGAGGCCTCTTCCAACCCTAATATTCTATGATTCTAAGAACTGCGATTTTAAGTTTACCAGAACCCTTTATTACAGGTGGTATGGGTAGTGGCACCTAAAGTTAAGGTTGCTTGACACTTCCCATTACATGCCCCTATTATCAGTTGCTTATATCTTTGCCACACTTCAACTATTCAGGTTGATTCTGGTCTTCCTTAAACCATTTTACATTGGTGTAACTCCACTGGCTTCAATGGAGTTATTTCAAATTTACAATGCTGTGAGAGCAGAACCAGACACCATTTATCTGTTTATTACAAAACATACTTTCCCTTTCAAATCCTATGCAAACTAAAAAGGCCATGTTACTAAAAAAAGGAACTCCTTTTTTCAAAGAACATGTTTTTTGTATCTCATTTGCTATGCCAGACATTTTTATTGCTACTTCTTGACTAGTAGAATAATTTTTGTACATATCTCTAAAATGCAAGTTGAACTCCATCACTACCCCCTGACATATTTTTAAAGATTTACAAAAAGCCTTTTTCTGAATAGGCTCATTCCAGTTTTCTGAGCTGTAACTGACTTTAAAAAAAACAACCCCAAACCTTGACTCTTCCCTTTTATGGTCATAAACAGATTTCAAGGGCTTAGCTGAATGGCAGAAGGTATACTTTAGAGCTCGTTATTCCACTATTTTTTCAAGTTAAGTAGGAAGCAGAAAATGCTCCATGTAAATGCAGTGCAACGTTGACCAAAAGTCTCAGGTAAATAAAAGTAAACTGCAAGATGTTTGTTAATTAAGCCACACATACTCTGTACTATTAACAACAAAACCTTTCTATTTGATTATTATAATTATTAATTTATGATTCAGGCATTATTCAGATGAACATCAAGAAATTAATTTTGATTGTAAATAAAGGGTACAGACTTCTCCAGGAAATCCTCTACATATAAACTTTGCTTCCATTGATCCAGGACTGAAATATCCATCATTTTTTGTGTGGAAACAACTGAAACTAGAACAGAGAAACAAATACAAAAAGTTCAGAGAAAAGTCATGCTAAAATTAGTTTAATTTTTACAAGTAAGCCAAGCCCCTTCAGAGCCCAGCAATATTGTAGCTAGTAGGCAATGAAAAAAACAATGCTCTCAGGCCATGTCTACACTACACAGCTAAATTGGCACTGCTGTGATCGATGCACGGCATCGATTTATCGGGCCTGGTGAAGACACGCTAAGTCAATGGGAGAGCACTCTCCTGTCAATATCTGTAATCCACCTCAATGAGAGGCAGAAGCTATGTCGCCAGGAGAGCGTCTCCCATCAACATAGCATAGCATGGACACCCCTGTAAGGCGATCTAAGATACCTCAACTTAAGTTACGTTACTTATGTAACCTAACTAGCGTAACTTAGCCCTGGTCTACACTACGAGTTTAGGTCGAATTTAGCAGCATTAGGTCGATTTAACCCTGCACCCGTCCACACGACCAAGCCTGTTTTGTTGACTTAAAGGGCTCTTAAAATCGATTTCTGTACTCCCTGGCAAGGGGAATAGCGCTAAAATCGACCTTGCTGGGTCAAATCTGGGGTAGTGTGGATGCAATTTGACAGTATTGGCCTCCATGAGCTATCCCAGAGTGCTCCATTGTGACCGCTCTGGACAGCACTCTCAACTCAGATGCACTGGCCAGGTAGACAGGAAAAGATCCGGGCACTTTTGAATTTAATTTCCAGTTTGGCCAGCGTGGCGAGCTGATCAGCACAGGTGACCACGGAGTCCCAGAATTGCAAAGAGCTCCAGCATGGACCGAACGGGAGGTATTGGATCTGATCGCTGTATGGGGAGAAGAATCTATGCAGGCAGAACTCTGTTTCAAAAGACAAAATGCCAATATATTTGCCAAAATCTCCAAGGGCATGATGGACAGAAGCTACAACAGGGACACACAGCAGTGCCATGTGAAAGTTAAGGAGCTGAGGCAAGCCTACCAAAAAACAAAGGATGCAAATGGTCGCTCCGGATCAGAGCCCCATACATGCCGCTTCTATGATGAGCTGCATGCAATTCTAGGGAGCGTCCCTACCACTACCTCACCACTGTCCGTGGACACCTGCAAGGGGGGAGTTTCATGCAACAGTGATGAGGATTTTCTGGATGAGGATGATGATGATGAGGAGGAAGTTGAGGATAGCGCATAGCAGGCAAGCGGAGAATCCCTTCTCCCCGGCAGCCATGAACTGTTCATCACCCTGGAGCCAATACTCTCCCAACCATCCCAAGGCAGGCTCCCAGACCATGAAGCCGGAGAAGGCACCTCTGGTGAGTGTATCTTTGTAAATATAATACAGGGTTTAAAAGCAAGTGTGTTTGATGATTAATTTGCCCTGAAGACTTGGGATGTATTCGCAGCCAGTATAGCTACTGGAAAAGTCTGTTAACGTGCCTGGGGACGGAGCGGAAATTCTCCAGGGACATCTCCATGAAGCTCTCCTGGAGGTACTCTAAAAGCCTTTGCAGACGGTTTCTGGGGAGGTCAGCCTTATTCCGTCCTCCACGGTAGGACACTTTTACCACACCAAGCCAGTAGCAAGTAGTCTGGAATCATTGCAGAACAAAGCATTGCAGCGAATGGGCCTGGGCTTTGGTGGCATTCAAGCAACATCTGTTCTTTATCTTTTTGTGTTAGCCTCAGGAGAGTGATATCGTTCATGGTCACCTGGTTCAAATACGGGAAATTTGTTTAAGGGGACATTCAGAGGTTTCTGTTCCTGCTGGGCTGTTTGCCTTTGGCTGAAACGAAATCATCCCTGCTGTTAGCCATGCGGTGGGGGGAGGCCCGTTTATGCTGAGCTGTTCACATTTGGCTGACCGGGATCTTCTCTGATACTAGCCACATGGTGGAGGGGAGGGGTGAAGCGCTCATCCCAGATAATTGGATGGGGGGAGGGGTTTGGGTTGTGCTGCACGTTTACCCTAAAACAGCAGCCCCTCCTTTTAAATGGCCAACTCAATGGGCTTTGCTTGGTACGGGAAAGGAGGGCGCTGCTGTTTGAAACCATTCCCACATGTTATGAAGGTTGAAGAAGCCGAAACCCTTTGCCTTACCATGGCTGCCTACAAGCCGAATTTCTGTTGCCTAGCCAAGCGTATGTGATGTCTCACACCAAACCAGCAGGCACTCAATATAAGAGGGAAAATGTGACTTTGTACCAAAAGCACAAGTGCTATTTATTGTGAAACGCCTGATTCAGTGTGAAATAGTCTTCCCTTTGTTCTCTAAAATATATCTTTTTAAATACAACTCTCCCTTTTTTCGTCCCGCAGCTGCAAATGTTTCTACACTCCCTCTATCATCTCCGTCCCAGAGGCTAACGCAGAAGAAGGCATTAGAAGGTGAAAAAAACACACTCGCGATGAAATGTTCTCAGAGCTTATGTAATCCTCCCGCACTGAAAGAGCTCAGCAGAATGTGTGGAGGCAAACAATGGCAGAGACCAGGAAAGCATTAAATGAATGCGAGGAGGGAGGAGCGCAATGAAAGGAGGCAGGAGCACGATGCGAGGAGGCAGGATGCAATGCCGATTCTAATGGGGGAGCAAACTGACATGCTCAGGCATCTGGTGGAGCTGCAGGAAAGGCAGCAAGAGCACAGACTGCTGCTGCAGCCCCTGTATAACTGCCTGCCCTCCTCCCCAAGTTCCATATCCTCCTCACCCAGACGCCCAAGAACGCGAGCTTTTAAACATCCAAATGCACATTCTATTCTGCACTTGCTCAACCTATAGTTGAACTGCTCCTGACTACTGTCCAGGGTGCCTGTGTATGGCTTCATGAGCCATGACATTAAGGGGTAGGCTGGGTTCCCAGGGATAACTATAGGCATTTCAACATCCCCAACGGTAATTTTCTGGTCTGGGAAGTAAGTTCCTTCCTGCAGCTGTTTAAACAGACCAGAGTTCCTGAAGATGCGAGCATCATGCACCTTTCCCGGCCATCCCACACTGATGTCAGTGAAACGTCCCTTGTGATCCACCAGTGCTTGCAGCACCATTGAAAAGTACCCCTTGCGGTTTACGTACTGGCTGCCAAGGTGGTCTGGTCCCAAGATAGGGATATGCGTTCTGTCTATCACCCCACCACAGTTAGGGAACCCCATTGCAGCAAAGCCATCCACTATGACCTGCACATTTCCCAGAGTCATTACCCTTGATAGCAGCAGCTCAGTGATTGCGTTGGCTACTTGGATCACAGCAGCCCCCACAGTACATTTACCCACTCCAAACTGTTTCCCGACTGACCGGTACCTGTTTGGCGTTGCAAGCTTCCAGAGGGCTATCGCCACTTGCTTCTCAACAGAGAGGGCTGCTCTCATCTTAGTATTCTTGCGTTTCAGGGCAGGGGAAAGCAAGTCACAAAGTTCTATGAAAGTGCCGTTACACATAAGAAAGTTTCACAGACACTGGGAATCGTCCCAGACCTGCAACACTGTGCAGTCCCACCAGTCTGTGCTTGTTTCCTAAGCCCAGAATTGGCGTTCCATGGCATGAACCTGCGCCATTACCACTCTGATGTCCAAATTGCCAGGGCCCGTGCTTTGAGAGAAGTCTGTGTCCATGTCCTCATCACTATCGTGATTGCCCTGTCGTCGCCTCCTTGCCTGCTTTTGTAGGTTCTGCACATACTGCAGGATAATGCGCGAGGTGTTTGCAATGCTCATAACAGCAGCGGTGAGCTGAGCGGGCTCCATGCTCGCCGTGGTATGGCATCTGCAGGAAAGCAGAGTTGTAGCGGAAGCGGTGGATGATACCAAGAGAATAGATATTTATACAGAACGACGAGAGGACCTGCGAGGTGGATTCATGGCACCAGGAGAGCAGAGTTGCAGCGGAAGCGGTGGAGGACGACTGTTAACAATGCATACATATCCTGAGGAAGAACACAAGTACTCGGGAACACATGACAGACAACATGGAGAAATTTGCTACTGAGACAAGAGCAGCAGAGCAGAGTTGCAGCGGAAGCGGTGGATGACGACGATGGTTAGCAGTTCTACTGCACCGTCTGCTGACAGCAGTATGACATCTGCACGGAAAAAAGCTGCAAAACGATTGTCTGCCGTTGCTTTCACAGAGGGAGGGACGACTGACGACGTGTACCCAAAACCACCCGCGACAATATTTTTGCCCCATCAGGCACTGGGAGCTCAACCCAGAATTCCAATGGGCAGTGGAGACTGCAAGAACTGTGGGATAGCTACCCACAGAGCAACACTCCAAAAGTCGCCGCTAGCCACGGTACTGTGGATGCACTCCGCCGACTTAATGCGCTTAGTGTGGACATATGCAATTGACTGTATAAAATCGATTTCTAAAAATCGACTTCTATAAGATCAACCTAATTTCGTAGTGTAGACATACCCTTAGATCAACTTACAGCGTTAACTGTAACGCTACTCTGTGCTTGGAACATTCTCCTTCTTTCTGTGCACCAAACCTCTGTACCACCCTTCAAATCTCTCCACAAAACTTTTTCTTCACTTTATCTTCTGTCACTACTCTCCTTTACAGAAATGTCTGTGTCCCACTTGTACCTGATCCTTTTCTGTTATGCTGTATCTGCCTAATTAAATTTTAAGTTCCTCAGAGCTTCTTAGAAGTTTGTAAAACAATGTGCTCACCTTTGGTGCTATATATATATATATTCACATACACACACATTTAATAAGACATATCCATTTACTTGTTACTTCAGCAGTGTATGCATATTATCTTCACAGCTGGTGTGAGTTAGTACACTGGAAGTAATTGTTGCAACCAAGATCATCAGTTCTTGTATCCCAGCTACCAGTTTTTCACTAGGTTCAAAATGAATCTGAATTGAAAATTAAAAATAAATAGAACACCTCTTGTCCATGGCCTCCTGTACTTATCATCAGCAAAGACTCCAGTATGATGGTAATTCTCATCTTGATGTAAACAGGGAGGAACACGAAATGATAACCGATCAATAGAAAACTTCTGTCTTGCCACATTCTGCACAAGAAAAATAGTTATATATAATTATCAGCTAGATTGTTCTACCTTTACCCTGGCTGAATAGTACCTTCTTTCTCAAACAGTCCTACTGATTTTAATGAGCTATTCAAGAATTAAGGTGATACTTACTGTGAGTAATGGTGGAGCAATCTGGCCCTAACAGAGGATCTTAATTTTACTGAGCCAGATTTTTAGTCCTTGATCTCCACTTGCGCACATGCAAAATGCACTTATACCTAGTTGCACCTGCACTTTTGCATGTGCAATTACCCATGAGTATACAAACTGTTTTAGATACCCACTGAACAATCTAACACACGAACATCTGGAAGCTGGGTAGAGGCCATTGAAAATGAATCCTATTGTGTCTGTTGAAAATGCTCAGTTATTCACAAATGCCAGTTCACATATGCCTGCACAAGGTTACAAAAATTTCCCAACAAATCCTATTATTTTCATCCAAAATAACGAAGCAAAACAGAGTATGCATTTATATAAATTTTATTTATATAGACACAATTTAAGATCTTTTGTAGACATGCTACTAATTTTACTTAAAATCCTCTGAAAATATTCTAATACTTAATGGTCATCCTGGCATCCTCAGTAACTCTTTATTTAGCACCAAATTCAATAAAGTATCCTCACAAACACTATGCCACAGAAGTCCAAAAAGGAGAGCACAAACTTAAGGGGGGCAGGAAAGGAAGATGTGGGGATAGGGAGAATGGGAAGAAAGGGATTCTGTAATAGGAGCTTGGAGTGATGAGCAGGTGAATCACTGATAATTTGGGAGGCAGGGGGACACTGGAGACATCCAGAGTTCTAAAGGTATGAGAGTGGTATGGAAAAGAGAAAGAAGCTCTGCACAGAAACATGAGAGAACGACAATGAGGAGTCTAGAGATCCATATGTTTCTACATCTGCGTCCCCTACCCCACTAGAAATGTCTAGCAAAGCTTCTAGAAATGTCCCTCAACTTCAGGGTAGGCCCTCAGCCTCTTTGCCATAACACCCAGTCTGATGGTCCAGCTGTGGTTCGTATAGCCAGAACCCTCTGCCGACAAATCTGAGGTAGTCTGCTAACAGGGGATGATGCAGAGAAACAAAGGTGGTAGCTGTCCCCCTAACAGTCCTTCAGAAAGGGATCAGTTCTCCCCTGCAGCCTGTCAGGAAGCAAAAAAAATTCCAATATATACAAACAAATTTATTTGGTGAATATGATACTGATAAGCTATACAACCTCTTGAATGGATCAGTCAAAGTTCTCCTATTTTCTGTCTGCCCTGAGAGCAGAAGACAAGAACTGGAAATTGAACCTGGGTCTACGGCACGCTAGTGCAGACAGACTATTAACCACTAGCCTATACTAAGCCTAAATAATTCATATTTAAGCCTGGCTGTGCCTCCACGTAGGAGCCAAAGGGAGGACATGCTGCTGCTTCCGGGAGCTGCTGAGGTAAACGCCACCCGGAGCCTACACCCCTGAGCCATCCTGTGTGCCCCACCCCACTGCCCCAGCCCTGATTCCCCCTCCTACCCTCCAAACCCCTCGGTCCCAGCCTGGAGCACCCTCCTACACCCCCAAATCCCTCATCCCCAGCCCCACCCCAGAGCCTGCACCTCCAGCTGGAGCCCCCCCACCCTGCCCAGCCCTGAGCCCCCTCCTGCACCGTGAACTCCTCATTTCTGGCCCCATCCCAGAACCCGCACCTCCCACACCCCAACCCCAATTTTGGAAGCATTCATGGCCTGCCTTACAATTTCTATATCCAGATGTGGCCCTCGGGCTAAAAAGTTTGCCCACCCCTGCACTAACGCTCATGTGGGGAATCTGGCTAATATATAAAGCTCTAGTGTTCTGAACACCCAGCCTTCTCCAATAATTCAGCCAAACTAGATAGGTTGAGAAATAATAGCAGGGAGTGAAAGGAACAAGAAATAAGTAAATTAAGACTATAACCCTCACTGAAATTGAACCACTGGAGGGTATAGGAATCAGAGAAAGCTTAGCAAGAACTTGTCTTTGGCCTCTCTTGAGATCTTTATGCTTTTGGCAACAGTGTTTGATTCAATAGTGCATTAGATCAAGGGATCCTGAAAGATCAGTTTAAGTCTATGTGCATCAGACTTTTTCAGGATGATGGAAATGAGGAGCAGCAATGGAACAAAGAATGGAACTTCAGTTTTGAAGCAGAACATCACCGTATTGTCAAACCAGAACTGGTGCTGGGAGGCGCAAGCTGATATTCAGCATTAACATGCAAACATTACTACAATAGTCCCAGACAGTTTGACCTTCTGTTGCTACTACTCTGGAGCCTGTGAAAGATTGTGCTATCTGTGAGAAAAACATAAAGAGAAGAGAGACTATTTTGGAAAAGAAAATATAGAACTAAATCCTGTTCTTTCTTGCCTGACATAGGGAGGAAACTGCAGTGATGACAGCACACAACAGGACAGCTTAGGGCAGGTGGGAGAGAAATACATGGTGGACACACCTGACTGCTGCTCCAAGAAGAAACAGGATAAGTTTCATTTCAGCATGTGTTTTGCACGGCCAGCAACCTAACCACATTCTAGGCCAGCTGGAGCTCTGGAGTGGCAATAGAAGTTAGCTGCTAGTACTCAAGAGACTACTAGGAAGGTATCCTGCTGCATGGGTATGCTAAGGAATACTCCTGCCTATGGGGAAAGGAATATGGGTGGAGTATTCATGGAATGTGGCCCTTTGTGTACTTTCAAGCACTAGCAGGACTATACTGGATACAATGCAAGCTACATCTTCTTAAAGGAGTCGCAAGAGCTGCTGCATACTGTACACCCCCTGAACTCTTAGCCCTAGACTACATGGGCGAGGGGTGGGGGAATCGATCTAAGCTACGCAACTTCAGCTACGTGAATAATGTAGCTGAAGTTGACGTACTTAGATGGACGTACCGTGATATCTTCACTACGGTGAGTCAACTGCTGCAGCTCTCCTGTCGATTCTGCCTGTGGCTCTCGTGGCGCTGGAGTGCAGGAGTTGACGGGAGAGTGCTCGGGGGTCGATTTATCGCATCTAGGCTAGACACGATACATCGATGCCCACTGGATCGATCGCTGCTCGCCAATCCAGTGGGTAGTGAAGACATACCCTTAGAGACATTATGTCTGAGGGCCTCTCCCTACCACTCACACACTAGAACTGCTCCCTCTTTAGATACAGCACTCAATGGGTGGACAGGTTTGTGATTTGTCCCACAGTTTTTAAAAAGTCAAAAAAGAGAGAAAACTAAATTACAGTGGGACAACATGCTTCAGCAATGAGCAACTGACACATTCAATAACAATGCACAACTGAAGAGATGAAGGAAAACAAGACTTCATAATGACAGGTTTCAGAGTAGCAGCCGTCCTCCTTTTCTTTTTTCAAGACTTCATAATGTTTCTATGTTGTAACTGATAAACAACTACAAAACTAAAATGCTCCTCGTAGATAAAGTTATGTCAACAAATGTGTACAGTCCATGAGCCTGAATTTTACTGAAAACATTATACAGAAATAAACACCTTTCCTGTTATTAAAGCATCAAGGGAGAATAATATATTGTGGAAATGCTACTCTACTGCATATTAAAGTTGAAAGAAAACTGGATTCCTTCTAGGAAAAAAGTAATTAAGAGTTTTATGCTTTAAAAGACTCAGGATGCTCTTCAAAATGATCTATGAGCAGGAAACAAGCTCTAAAACAGTATCATATGTGCAGCAGACCATCAAAAGGTGGACGCTCTTCAGTTTTGGCAGGATTATATTTGGACTCTATTGTAAAATACCAGCAATCACTTCACCATAATATGCCAGAGAGAGAATTAAGGTCTTGTGTGCAGCAGCAGTGCAGTAAAAAGAGCTCATTTAAACGGAATCCTTAAGTAATTAGTTGCTTTATATGGTTTCAAAAATGCATCAAAGGCTGTGTGTAATTATTCCCATCACATTTCCTATAGAGCACGGGAAGTGCAACAGTAAACTGTACCTCATATAAATAGTCTACTGCATGATATTTAAGAGCTGCAAACATTATCTTCCTCGTTTGGCAATGTATTCAAAACTTCACTTGTCTGAAAGATACATAAAATATAAATTACTCAAAAACCTTTTGCAGAACACAAAATCTTAAAACAGAAATGCTGTTACTCTGATTCAGTAGATTAGCCTCTTAACTTCTGCATAAACATGTATATGCTGTAGAGAAGTTTTTATTAGACTAGTGTTTCCCAAAGTGTGGGGTAAGTCACCGTGGGGGGTTCCAAGGAGTCTGGTGGGGCATGGACATTCAATTCTTTTAGTCTCATTTTTTTGTTTGTTTGTTTGTTAAGTAAAGCTCTAGCTGTTATGGTTTCAAAGATTACCTTTCAAACATGAAGCAAGTGTAATCAATGTAGAGGTGTCTTCCTGTCTTTATAGAGAGCTTGAACAATAAGTCTGAGGTTTAAACCGCCTCATTAATTTCAAAAGATGCTAACTCTGTTATCAGTGATGATACTTTAAATGTCTACATTGTTAAATATTTCATTGATCATCAAAGCATACAAGGAAGGACAGCTAGTTATCATATTGTGAAGCTCTGTGATAGATACTGCAACCCCATGCAATATCTTTGAGGACCACATGAAGAGTTTATGAATCACTGTGGGCCAGGGATTGTTTGAAACTCCAAACAGGGAGGATTACCCCAGCTCTTCCAAAAGCCAAAAACAGTAGGGGGTAGTTATGGTGAATCATTTAAGTACCACCCCTTGGTGACACTTGCATATACTGGTTGAGGCTGGGTTTTCCCAAGACTAGCAGACAAAGAATGGGCTTTTGATATAAAAAGGGCCTTCTTTCTGATCCAGCAAATTAACATAACTCCTCTCCAGAGGCAGCCACAAACTGCAGAAGAGTTGGAAAAACGTTGGCCTACAGGGCCCATAAGACAGATGGGTGACTCCTGGGATATTCAGTTTGTGTTTAAATCCATTTATTGTTTTATTATGTTTTCTCTAGAATGCTTTTACCTTAAGAGTAAATGTGCTTTGTTAGAAAGAGCTGTGTGGATACTTGTAACTGCTGGCAATATACTATTCACAGCTCTCAGAGAGAAAGCTGGGCTTATCACAGTGTAAGGTAAGAGGCTATGCAGCCTTAAAACTCCCCAATCAGAATGAAGTGCCCAGAAACAGATGACAGCTGGAGACCTAAGACCTGACTGGGCACTGCTGGAGTGGATCCCAGAGGGGGAATACAAGTGCAATTATAGTATTTCTCAAGGTGGAGGGAAGAGGAGTGGAGGAGGAAGCAGAAGGTGCAGAAATTAAGATGTGTAGGCCTTTAACAATACATGATGGGATTGCAGGGGAGTATGATTGGTTTAGTTTTACCTGCAGGGGAATCAGATTTCAAAAGTTTGGGAAACTCTGCTTTAGAATGTCCTTTCAAGTGAATGAAACATCAATACATACAGTACCAATTGTGTCCAACAACACAAGAATATGTTTGCAGTAGGGCTGTCAAGTGATTAAAAAAATTAGTTGTGATTAATCGCACAATTAAAAAATTAATCACAATTAATAACTGTTAAACAACAATAGAATACCATTTATTTTAAATATTTTTGGAGGTTTACCACATTTTCAAATATATTAATTTCAGTTACAACACAGAATACAAAAGCATACAGTGCTCACTTTATATTTATTTTTTATTACAAATATTTGCAGCGTAAAAATAAAAAAAATGTATTTTTCAATTCACCTCATACAGGTACTGTAGTGCAATCCCTTTATCATGAAAGTTGAACTTAGAAATGTAGTATTATGTCCAAAAAACCTGCATTCAAAAATAAAAAAAATGTAAAACTTTAAGAGTCTACAAGTCCACTCAATCCTACTTCTTGGTCAGTCAATCACTCAGACAAACAAGGTTGGTTACAATGTGCAGGAGATAATGCTGCCTGCTTCTTGTTTACGTCACCTGAAAGTGAGAACAGGCATTTGTGTGGCACAGTTGTAGCTGGCGTTGCAAGATATTTATGTGCCAGATGTGCTAAAGATTCATATTTTCCTTGATGCTTCAACCATCATTCCAGAGGACATGCTTCGCTGCTGCTGCTGGGTTCTGTCTGATAACGACCCAAAGCAATGCGGGCTGACATGTTAATTTTCATCATCTGAGTCAGATGCCACCAGTAGAAGGTTGATTTTCTTTTTTGGTGGCTTGGATTCTGTAGTTTCTGCATCAGAGTGTTGCTCTTTTAAGACTTCTGAAAGTATGCTCCACACCTCGTCCCTCTCAGATTTTGAATGGCACTTCAGATTCTTAAAGCTTGGGTCCAGTGCTGTAGCTATTTTTAGAAATCTCACATTGGTACCTTCTTTGTGTTTTGTCAAATCTGCTGTGAAAGTGTTCTTAAAACGAACATATGCTGGGTCATCATCCGAGACTGCTATAACATGAAATATATGGCAGAATGTGGGTAAAACAGAGTAGGAGACATACAATTCTCCCCCCCCAGGAGTACAGTCACAAATGTAATTGACGTATTATTTTTTTAACTAGCATCATCAGTATGGAAGCATGTCTTCTGGAATGGTGGCTGAAGCATGAAGGGGCATAGGAATGTTTAGCATATCTGGTATGAAATACCTTGCAATGCTGGCTACAAAAGTGCCATGCGAACGCCTATTCTCACTTTCAGATGACATTGTAAATAAGAAGCAAGCAGCAAAATCTCCTGTCAATGTAAACAAACTTTGTTTGTCTTAGTGATTGGCAGAATAAGAAGTGGCACTGAGTTGACTTGTAGGCTCTAAAGTTTTACATTGTTTTGTGTTTGAATGCAGTTATGTAACCAAAAAAATAAATAAATCTGCATTTGTAAGTTACACTTTCACGATAAAGAGATTTCACTTCAGTACTTGTATGAGGTGAATTGAAAAATAGTATTTCTTTTATCATTTTTACAGTGCATATATTTGTAATCAAAAATAATAATATAAAGTGAGCACTGCGCACTTTGTATTCTGTGTTGTAATTGAAATCAATATTGAAAATGTAGAAAAACATCCAAAAATATTTAATAAATTTCAATTGGTATTCTATTGTTAAGTGTGATTAATCGCAATATATTTTTTTAATTGCGATCAATTTTTTTTTAGTTAATGGCGTGAATTAACTGCGATTAATTGACAGCCCTAGTTTTCAGCCATAACTAATCTTTCAGGAAAAGCAAAAAAGTAGATTTTTAGGTTTTGTCTATATCAAGATTAACTTGGCAACAATCCTTATCCTGCATATTTTATGGCATACACTTAACAGAAATAAACTACATGCTTAACAAGAAAAATAAGTATTAAATACTATACATTAGCAACACAGCCAGGTAAATGCTGTATGGAATCAGTGAGCCTGATTCTGATCTCATTTGCATTAGTGTAAGGAAACCAGGACTGACTTCATGAAGTTCCATTGGTGTAAAGAAAATGTAAGCTAAACACCAGTTTTTATTTTGACTGACTGCACAAGTATAATACTGCATTAATGTACCTTTTGGAATATACCAAACGAGGGCACGCCACCGTGACTTTGGACACTACTAGGTACTACACAAAGCAATAAGTGTTTGCAGGATAGTATACACATTTTGTAAACTTGTGTACCTTTTTGGTTAAATATCTTATATAGTTATCTAAAATGCCATTTCCAAATCATCCTTTCTCAACCCCAAACAAATAACGCTGTAATTATGAATAAGAGGAACGCGTGTATCAAAACCTGACCTTAAAAGATTTGCACTTTTAAATAAATCTGATTGTAAATTTAAACAACTCTACATTGAGAAAAACGCTGCCTGAAGTCTGCCAAGCATAAGAGTTTTTGTGTGGGTCTTAATTTTACTGTGTCCTTTCATACAAACAGGAACCCCAAAACCACCACCTCTCCCACATTGCAACTTCCCTTCCTGCCAGAACAGATGTTGCAGCAGGGGTCATGCAGTTCATTTTTTCTCCTCTCCTATTTGTGCCACTGTAGCTCTCCTCTCCCCGTGATGGTGTCACTGCAGCTCCCACTCACCTTCCCCTTCTCAGCTTCACTGCAGCCCCCTCCCTGTGTCAATGTCCCTTTAGCCCCCCTCCATGTCAGCAACACTGCAGCACCCCTCTCCTTCCCTGTGTGTCATGGCAGCCCCCCTCCCTGTCAGTGACACTGCAGCTCACACTCACCTTCCCCTTCTCAACAACACTGCAGCCCCCCCCTTCCCTGTGCCAGTTCACTACTGCAGCGCCCGTGCCCCGCCACTGCCTCTCCACGCACCGCCTCCTTCAGGCTCTTCCTCCCGCCACTGCTGCTCTCACGCGCTCCCCTGGATCCCAGGGCGGGAAGCTGAGCTGGGCCCTGATTGGCCCCTTGGAGCCTCGCGGCAGCAGCGCCCGCCGTCGCCCGGAGTCACGTGGGACCCGCTCTCGCGATCACGCGGAGGCAGGCGAAGCCCGTGACGTTGAGGGGAAGTGATCAGGGGAGTGGCGGGACGGGGCGAAGTGATGAGCGCGAGACCCGCCCAACGGGCTAGAATGGGGAGGGGCCCCCGCCCCTACGGAGCTGCCACAAACCCCTCCCCATCGCGGGGTGTTTGATCCCTTGCCACAGCGCCCCCTGTCGGCTCAGACCAGGCCACCTGCTGGGTGCCCCCCCCACCCCCACCGCCATGTTAGCCTGAGGCAGTGCAACTGCTAAGAAGGACCAGCCGGGGACACCCTCCCCCCCAGCACTCTGTGCCCAGTCTGCCCTCTCCGGGCGGGGGGTACTCAGGGCAGGCGCTCCCCCTCCACCAGCACAGCACTGGGGGGGTGAATGGCGGGGACATACGTTCCCCTCCAGCTCCCAGGCCTCTGCTTGTACATCTGTACGCCTACTTCCCAGGTTGCCCCAGGGAAACTGGCGGCTCTTAACAAATACACAATGGTGGTGAGGTGGCTGGATGAGTAACACAGAAAATGGGGAGCCGTCCGGTTCCTGGTGGCTAGCTTTCCACACAAGCCATGCAAGCAGCTGCTGGGGCCTGGGCCTTAAGAGCAAACTGCACCACTGGACAAGAGCAGCCCCATTTCCCAGATTTTTCTGGAAGAAGCATGAAACTTATCGACACACACTTGCGTGCATGCACATTTACCCAGCTCATCACCACACAACTCACAGCGACCGCATAATCACCCATACACTTACACAAAACTCCCTGTCAGCAGCCCCCTCTTCTTCCCTGTGTCAGTGTCGCTGCAGCCCCCCCCCCCACGTGTGAGCTTGAATGCACAAAACTCATAATTGCTCATACCCACGCGCACAAAATTCATTGCACATGCAGCTCATCATCACATATGTGCACACACGAAAAACATCATCACACATGCACACATCAACAGCCACGTGCGCACGCACAAACAACTCATCACCAAACAAATAAATACCTCCCACAGACATGCACCATCACATGCACACAGAGCTCATCACCACACAAAACTCTTCCACACACCCACACCAGGCATAAGGCAGGAAGAAGCCAGAATTATCCCGGTACCCTCCGTCAATGGAACTTGAATAGGAGAGCAATCATGAATCTTGACAGCAACTTTGGATCTCTACTTGATTGGTAGGGTTTGCCTTGCTGGATTTCCAGTAGAAGGTATTTGTTATTTGTTCTGGGCTACTTGAGGCTTCTTTTGTAATTCAGGTACTAAAATCTGAATCTCATGAGCAAGGGGGAAAGGGGATTAATTCTCCAACCTCCCCCAGGAATTCAAAGGTACAGATGGAAAGCACCAGTTTCTCCTGTACGCCCATAGGTTGTTCTCAATCAGACAGTGTCATGTGCAGGATGTCGGACTAGATGATCATAATGGTCCCTTCTGACCTTAATGTCTATGAGTCTATGAAGAACAACAAAGAAAAGGCATAACAAATCTAGATATTACATGCAGGCAAACAGAAAGACTTCTCAGGCCACTGTGACCTTAGGTTGAAGGAAGAAGAGTATCTTTATTTCACTGTGAACTCCCTTGTCTATGCAGGGATTGAAAAGGGAGAAAAAGAAGCAGGAGAATGAAGGATGGAGAAATTGAACTAAAAGATAGTGAGAAATAGGTGAATGAGGGTTAGATATGTATGCAGGGACAAGGAGGCTGAGAGGGGGTAAGAGAAACAGATCAGGAGAAGGAGGTTTAACCAAAGGCAGCAGAGAAAAAACTAGAATAAATGGAAAAAATTGTATAAAATAATACTAAATATTAGGAAAAAGACAATAATAAATGGAAGAGTAGAAGGCGAAGAGGGATGAGAATTCAAAACTGAAGAGAAAAGAGACAAATTAAAAAAAGAAATCCCTTAAAGATAGTGGGCAGCAAAGATTGCACAACGTGAGACAAGTTAAAAATAAATGGAACATTTTATGAAGTATTAAACATGACAGGAAAATGAGTCTAAAGAAAATACATTCAAGAGAGTTGGGGCCAGATTAAGATCTACTTTAAATCTGGAATAACTCGAATGAAATCAATGGATTTATGTCTAATTTACGCCAGTACACATCCAACCAGAATCTGACCTTTGGAGTTTAAAAGAGACAAGAGACAAGGAAAGAAGAGCAAAATATGGCAGGCAATACTGTTAATTTACTCTTTTATTGGAAGTTTGCTGGAAGTATTTTATATGATAAAATACATTCACAAATAATGATAATATGTGTCTGTATGTAGACATTTTCATTTAATTAAATGAATCATAGAATATCAGGGTTGGAAGGGACCTCAGGAGGTCATCTAGTCCAACCTCCTGCTCAAAGCAGGACCAATCCCCAATTTTTGCCCCATATCCGTGAATGGCCCCTCAAGGATTGAGCTCACAACCCTGGGTTTAGCAGACCAAAGCTTAAACCACTGAGCTATCCCTCCCCCCCACATCACAAGACACATCCATCTGACATTTTGTCCTATCTTCTTGTATTTTAAAACTATCTAAGAAGAAAGTGAAGAATTTGCTACCTGTCATGAATAAAAAGACTTTTTATCCACAACTCATCTATATCTAAGACTGGAAATATCCTCTTGGTTTTATTGTTGGTGCTATTTCACCCCCATTTCTTTTTTCTTATTTCATGGTGTTCAGCTGAAAAAACCTTATTGCTGTAACTGCAGCTGCTGTTTCTACTTGTTCTCAGACAAGGTGGCAGTAGTACACTTAAATGTTTTTATTTAAATATCAGTGTAATACCTAGGGTGAGCGTACAGGATAGTAGATGATCTCTGATTATATGTTGGGTGTGTGGGGGGGGTAAACTCTGTGTTCTTCATTTTAAAGGATAACAACAAATTTCTAATTAGTGATGCTAGTCTAATTAGGGTGCATTGTAACTGCTGTGCTGTAACACTTTGTTTTGGGGTGTTAGTCATAAAAAGGAATTTGAAATTATTAACTGTGTGTATGCGTAACTGTCTTATGGTAAAGAGTGGATTCCTAAGGATTCCTAAGGAGAGAAAGGTAGTGAATCCTAAATCACCACAAGAGGGAAAGGAGTCAAAGGGCATGACCAAACCCCACTTCCTCATTGGCCTTCAGATTTGAAGAGCTGCAGAGGGAAGCATTCACCCACTGCAACAGCCTAGGAGATGATGCAGCAACAAGTATGTTTCCCCTGTACCCTGGAGCTCCAAGAGACACACTTCCTCACAAAACTCTGGGGTGGTGCAGCTCCAATTGGAACCAGTGGATAAAAGCTACAAGTGAGTCTCTTGCAAGAACAGATTTTACAGGGAGAGGGAGGGGATATTAAATAAAAGATATAGTTATAGGTTGTAATTTCATGTATATAGTTATGAGGCTGAAAATATGTCCTCCTGGCTTAAAGCAAGCCCAGGCAAAAACTCTCCCAGAAGCAGAGGGGCAGTTCACACTCATCAGGGCATGTATGGGAGAAACCCAGCCCAGCCTCACAGGAACAAAGGACACTGGCCTAGGCAGCAACAAAGTGGAAGGGTGGTAGAATCTCCTTCCTTAGAAGTTTTTAAGGTCAGGCTTGACAAAGCCCTGGCTGGGATGATTTAATTGGGGATTGGTCCTGCTTTGAGCAGGGGGTTGGACTAGATGACCTCCTGAGGTCCCTTCCAACCCTGATATTCTATGATTCTATGATTCTATGATCAGGAACAGTCAACATGGATTCACCAAGGGCAAGTCATGCCTGACCAACCTGTTTGCCTTCTATGATGAGATGACTGGCTCTGTGGATATGGGGAGGTGATATATCTTGACTTTAGCAAAGCTTTTGATACGGTCTCCCACAGTATTCTTGCCAAGAAGTTAAAGAAGTATGGGCTGGATTAATGGACTATCAGGTGGATAGAAAGCTGGCTAGATCATCAGGCTCAATGGGTAGTGATCAACAGCTTAATGTCTAGTTGGCAGCTGGTATCAAGTGGAGTGCCCCAAGAGTCAGTCCTGGGGCCGGTTTTGTTCAGTATCTTCATACATGATCTGGAGGATAGTGTGGATTGCACCCGCAGCACGTTTGCAGATGACACTAAACTGGGAGGAGTGGTAGATACGCTGGAGAGCAGGGATAGGATACAGAGGGACCTAGACAAATTGGAGGATTGGGCCAAAAGAAATCTGATGAGGTTCAACAAGGACAAGTGCAGAGTCCTGCACTTAGGACGGAAGAATCTCATGCACCGCTACAGACTAGGGACCGAATGGCTCGGCAGCAGTTCTGCAGAAAAGGACCTAGCGGTTACAGTGGACGAGAAGCTGGATATAAGTCAACAGTGTGCCCTTGTTGTCAAGAAGGCTAACAGCATTTTAGGATGTATAAGTAGGAGCATTGCCAGCAGACTGAAGGACATGATCGTCCCCCTCTATTCGGCATTGCTGAGGCCTCATCTGGAGTACTGTGTCCACTTCCCCACACTACAAGAAGGGTGTGGAAAAATTGGAAAGAGTCCAGAGGAGGGCACCAAAATTATTAGGGGGGCTGGAGCACGTGACTTATTAGGAGAGGCTGAGGGATCTGGGTTTATTTAGTCTGCAGAAGAGAAGAATGAGGGAGGATTTGATAGCTGCTTTCAACTACCTGAAAGGGGCTTCCAAAGAGGATGGATCTAGACCAGTGGTTTTCAAAGCTGGTCTGCCTTTTGTTCAGGGAAAGACCCTGCCAGGCCGGACCGGTTTGTTTACCTGCCGCGTCCACAGGTTTGGCCTATAATGGCTCCCACTGGTCGTGGTTCACCGCTCCAGGCCAATGGGGGCTGCGGGAAGGGCGGCCAGCACGTTCCTTGGTCCGCGCCACTTCCTGCAGCCCCCATTGGCCTGGAGCAGCGAACCGCGGCCAGTTGAAGCCGCGATTGGCCGAACCTGTGGACGCGGCAGGTAAACAAACTGGTCTGGCCCGGCAGGGGCTTTCCCTAAACAAGCG